TTTCAACAAGATAAGTAGTGCTGATCCCTGACTTCTTTCTGAATGTCCTGCCACTACTGCTGCTGCCTTGACAGCTGTCATCCTTCCTGTTCTGCTTTTCCTGTTTATCCAGGTTTGCTTCAATCATCTTTGTAGATTCTGTGATGCCTTTCATTTTAAATATTGGAGTTACTTACGACTTAATCCCAGGTCTTTGGCAGCACTGCTGAGTTTCTGTAGGTAATCTTGTCTGCTCCCTTGGCTTCCACTGCCATCTTGTGTGGATCCTGGCTGGATGTGGCAAGCTGGCTTCTGATTCAAGACCCCTAGCTGACCTTCGCCATCAAGCTGCCTCTGCTGATTGCTTTATGAGGATCTCAGAACGCATATATCCACACCTGAGTTCATTATTCCTGTGACTGACAGCTGGCCCACCGTTCAGAAGCCGCCTACACTGCTTCCTCCAGCACCCTCAGCCTTGATGCCCTCATTCCCTCCCTTGCCCAGAAATACCCCGATGGTAGTGTCTGGAACTCGCATCCCTTCCTTCATCTCATGCGGTCTGCCAGCCTAGTCTGCCTGCTCTACCACTGTACTCTTCTGGTTCGAGAAATCACTTCTTTACTATACAGCCAGAGTTACTGTGATCTTTTAAAAGTGCAAGTATAAACAAGAAAACACAAGCAAAGGATTGGATCATGCCATGCTCTTACCGGCCCTGTACGTGTGGCCTCCCTGTTGTTTGTAGGACAGAGCTCTGCAGAGTTTGTAAGCTTCTGCCTGGTGCTTTTTAATTTTTTCTTGCAGTCCAACCATGTAGATCTTTTTGTTTCTTCTTTTTTTTTCCTTCTTTCTTCTTTTTCTCAATATTGTAAATTCTTCCTTCTGTCAGACACCCTTAAAATATGCATCCTCTTCAGCTGTTTTGTCCCTGTCAGTTGGAAGAAGGTTAATTCGTAGTGATTTTCTTCTCTCTCTGGATTAAGGATGGCTTACGGTTGTGTTCCTGTGTCATCCTGAGTTTCTCCGCAGCATTAATCCTAGTTACTTTCAGTTGTGTAAGTATTTGCTGAATACCTGCTTCCACTTCCCAGCTGAGCGTTCTGACGGAAGGTGTTAAACCTGCCTATTCAGGGTGTATCCCACACCCAGTGCTGGGCACAGTCAGTGAGAAGTGAGCACAGTTTCTGTGCATGTAAAGTGGCAGAGGGGTCACCGAGGAAAGACCATTTGAGTTTGTTTGTATCAGCTCAATAAAATATGACATACTTTTGAAATTTTCTTGGATTGAAAGTGATAATGTACCATGCACATAACAAGTAAAGCACTCAGTAACAAAGGAGAGTTCATGAGACCTTTCTCCCCCACCTCTGAACCAGTGTTCGTCGAGTCCCCTTGTGTGTCTGTCTAAATGGTTGTGCAAATATGCAAAAAAAAAAACATAGCTTTTAAAAAGTGGCATTACAGAGCTACAGTTTAGAGTACAGAACATTCTATAAATTACTATTTATTTGTTTATTTATTTATTGGTACTGGGGCTCAAACTCATGACCTCATGCTTGCCAGGCAGGTATTTTGCCGCTAAGCTACACTGCAGACCCCTATAAATTGCTTTTTAAACGGATTGTAACATGGACATATTTTTGAGTCGGTAGATAGAAGTTTAATTGTTTTATAATATTTCATAGACTTCAGCTGCTCACTGTGTGCGTATCTTTATACACTAGTACTTGTTCGTGTAGAACCAAGTCTTAAAAGTGATACTGTTGGGGCTGGGGATTTAGCTCAGCGGCATAAGCACCTGCCTTGCAAGCAGGCGGTTGTGAGTTCAATCCCCGGTACCGATAAAAATGAAAAAAGACAAAATAAAATAAAATGGAAAAAGTGATACTGTTGAGTCGGTGAGTCAAAGGATATATACATACATATACATGTATGGATGGATGTGTACATATGTACGTATATATAAAATACACATACGTGTGTGTGTATCGTCAGAAAAGTGTCACCATTAGGGTTCTACCCATATGAGAGAATGAATCATAAATAATGGAAATGGTCGCTTTTTGTCTTTGCCAGTAGAGAGGAGGAAGTTACTATCGTACTGTGCATTTCCATGACATTAGTGATATTGCATTGGGCATTACATGCTCTCGTGTGAGTCAGTGGTAGTTTTTCCTTCTCTGTTTCTTCCTTTCTTCTGACCTTCCAGTATCAGTTTTTTGTAGCTTGATTGAGTGATTTGGATTGGTTTCTTTATTGTTCTTTGTTTTTTTTTTGAGACAGGGTCTCACTATATAGCCCAGGCCGAGTCCTGTATTAAATGTGTTCACTTTAACTTTATGTGTTACAGATATTTCCTGCATCCTGTTGGTTGTTTCCTGGAATGAAGTGCATGCTCTAAACACATCTTTTTTATTTTTGTGCAACCAAATATACCAGTATTTGTTCTATGACTTTTGCGTTTACTGCATTGCAAAAAAAAATGTTGAAAAAATTTTCTTCATTTTAAAGTGAAATTAATGTTTCTCTAAAACATACCTCTAGGAAGAGAGAGACTGAGACTCTAGTTTATATGTCTTGGATAATTGTAGGGTGTGATCTAGTTTCTTCCAGGTGACAACCAATCATGAAGTCTAATTTATTAACTAAAACGTCCTTTCTGTTTGAGTCGTGTTATGTGAGGTGTGTTAGTGCCCACACCCAGTTTGGATGTGCCTCACTCTGCTGACATGTGGCAATATGATAGACTTATAGTAAGTGTTACTGTCTGCAAAGCAACTCTTGGCCCCTTGCTATTTTTTTATTGAATTGACATTCACTTAACAAACTAAATTAACCATTCTAAACTAAGCAGCTGCTTACATTCATGTGTGCACTCTCCATCTCTGCTAAAAACAGTTTTGTCTCTCCTCAAGGAAATCCATTTCCATGGAGAGTTAGTTGCATTCTTCTCTCCCCCTACTCCTGGAAGCTCTGTGTCTCTATACAGATTTACCTGTCTTGGCTATTCTTAAATGCCAATTCTTCCATTTTTAACTTTCAGATTTTATCCTTATTATAAGACAAAATATAAAATGGAAATTATCTATTGATACAATAAGAGGAAGGAGTGATTGTATCTTTTTTTTTTTTTTTTTTTTTTTTTTGTCTTTTTCATTTTTATCGGTACCAGGGATTGAACTCAGGACTGCCTGCTTGCAAGGCAGGCGCTTATGCTGCTGAGCTAAATCCCCAGCCCCATGATTGTATCTGTTGATTTGGGAATCTGATTATGTCTAAGATATTTGTGTCCTTCGTTATGACTGTGTTGTTTTTCATTAAATCTGGCCCTCTTGGTGGTAAATTTTGGTGGTGTTTTGAGAGAAAAACTAGTAGAGCGAAAAACCAAGTGGATTTAACATAATGTCTTTGGTATTTGCTGTTAGTTTTTAAAAATGTATATTTAAGTGCTACATTCATGTGTATCCGTGGAGCGAGATTCCCAGCCCCCAGCCAGGAGGTGAGCAGGGTAGTCGGCAGCCCCTCCCCATCACGGGCATTCCCACTGGAGTCCCACTTGCTTCAGATCAGTGGGGCACTTGATTCCCATAGGAGCTCGAACCTTACTGTGAACCGCATATGCAGGGGATCTGGGTTGCACCCTCCTTGTGAGAATCCAGTGCCTGAGACTCCCAAGTGGATGGAGGCAAGGCAGTGAGGCTGGTGCTAGGGGGACTGAAGATACAGACTCAGATGCGCAGACAGTCCATCTGCACAGAGACCCATCACTTACCAGTTGCTTACAGGGTCATCAGAAACTCCACAGAGGAGCAGGTGGTGATTAAGGTGTATCTTGAGGTAGGTTTTAAGTCAGAGTCGACCCTTTATTACATGGTAGCCCGACCATTATTTTGTCTGCCACCTCTGTTGACAGCTCTCACCCAGCATGCTCCTAGATTATGCTGGTGCAGGCATGAGAGCTGCTGATGCAGGAAAATAAGCTGAGCTCCACTGATCCTGCACTATTCTAAGTTGCCTGATTATTTCATTATGTGTTAGAAATAAAGTGCACAGTAAGCCAAACATCCTTGAGTCACCCCGAGGCCACACCACCTCTTTCCCCCATTCCACAGAAAAGTTGTCTTTCATAGTCCAGTCCCTGGGCCAGGGCAGAATGGCTGCTTGGAGTCCTCTTGAGAGGCAGCCTGTGACCTAGACTTAGACTTGCGTCCCCCACTAGGTGGCAGTGTTGTGGGGGGCTCCGTAGACAGCAGTGCCCGAAAAACCTGCTTTGGTGTCTGTTCTTGTTGCTGTAACTGTGGCCCAGATCGTTCAGTTGGCCGTTTTATTTGCCTTCAAGAGTAGTAGTAGTAATAACACGGATCTCTGTGTATATGTTTTTACTTTGTGACTGTGGTTGGGATTTTTAGCTATTCCTTAATCAGCTCAATTTAGCCAAGCTTTTTGGAATAAACTTATAAAATTTTACCTTCTTTACTTTTAATTCACATTTGAATTTGGAGAAGTAGCTTATAGTTTACGCCTTCCTGTATTTCCTTTTCTTCCGTAGCACGGGAAGCGCTGCCCACCTGGGACAAGCAGATCCAGTCCCTCTGCTTTCAGGTGAACAACCTTCTGGAGAAGATCAGCCAGACGGCCCCGGAGTGGACAGCACAGGCCATGGAGGCCCAGATGGCCCAGTGAGGCACGGGGGCTCTGCACGCTGCGTCTGCCTCCAGGTGTGGGTGGCGGACGCATCACTGCAGTGTCACCGCTGGCACGGTCTGTCATTTATCTGGTCCTCTTACCAACAACAGTGGTGCACGAGGTGGAAGCATTTGCAACTGTGTAGTCCCCGTCCACGCAGGGCCGGTGTGTTAAGCTAACTCCAATGTTTTGAAAGCTTTTTCTTTAAACAGAGGTGAAATATCTATGGCTAAAAAGTTTGGGATTTGTGGTAACTTTGTAGTCACGTAAAACCTAAGTGCTTTGTGCCTCTCCAAATGTGATTATCCTAATAAATGGAGAAATGAGCCAAATAAAAGTAGTACTTTGTTTTAATTAGTGAAAAGTGTTGAAAATTGTTTTTCCCAGTTCTCCTTCAATTCAGTAGACATTGATCTATACCATGTGCTACAAATACCTAGAGCCATCGTAACCCCTGTTCCTCAGTCACAGCTGGGAGCTAAGGTCAGTGCTTCCTGGCACATGGGTGCAGGAGCTCTTCCTCCTGCAGAGGCAGGAGGGAGCCCCATCCTGGAGAATGTGGGAGATGTCCCAGACTGAGAAGGGCCTTGGGGGTGTAGCTTCGTGTGGAAGCCCTGGGTTTAGTCCCCAGGGCTGGCTCCAGTTTCCGTCCCAGCACCTCAAGGAAGTCAGCATACCATACCCTTCCTCACAGTAACATGAAGGGTTCAATCGGCTGAAAATCAACGGCTTTTCTTACAAACATGCAAGAATTATCACTGAGCAAACCACCCCAAAAACGAAGAGAGCACCTTCCTGGAGAGGTGCTGTCGGCGCCAGTGATGTTGGAACATTGGGCTGGATGGATGCCGTGTTGGCAACTGGAGCTGAGAGCCCCAGCGTCCCTGCTGGGCCGTCCTGGTCAAGGGTGGGCCCTTCCAGTTTCCTGCAGGAAACGGAGGCAAAGCAGCTGCTCTGAAGCACACTGGAGGGGCAGCTGACTCTGAAGAGCGCCCCGCTGTTAAGGGGTCGGTAAGGAAGGAAGGCTTTCCCTCAAGGGAAGCCTTTGCCAGGGTGGCCAGAACCTGGCTGAGGAGGGAGGGGATGGACGGTTTCAGCTCCAGCTGCTTTTCCTTGTCTTGCAGGGTAAGGAAAGCAAAACAAAACCAGACCACCTGTGAGGGTCAGCCCGGGGAATCAGGCCAAAACCGGAGATAGGATAGCACATAATCCTTCCCAAATCCTTCCCCCCGATGACCACGGCGACAGGGATCCAGTATAAGGATGTTATGGTGACTGAGTGCTGCAAGACGGACTGCTGAAGACGGGATTCTTAGGAAAACCTAAACAACAGGAGAGAAGAACAACGAAACGGAAGCCTCTTCCAGTTACAGCAAGCAGTGCAGCTCGCCCTGCTTAGCTACAACAGCACGCAAGTCTCACTGTTACCTGTTACTTGATTCATTATGTCCGACTTTGAATCCAAGAAGGCAAGAAGACAGAGATGATGAAGACATCGCTCTCACCTTTTGAGAAATTAAAGTTGTGGCCAGGAACCGTCAGGGCTGAGGGCAGGAGTCTTAAAAAAAACGAGAATTTTAGCGTTAAAGGTTATGAGTGAAGAACTGGAACGGCGCGTTTGTGAGAGTATTTCGCTTGCCTCTGGCCGTGTTCCTCCACAGGGTCAGAAAGTGAAGTGGGAGGAAATTGGTGCTAACACTAGGTCAGAGACAATACAGGGAAGCTTCAGAGCCCGAGGCTCGTGAGGCGAGACGTGCCCTGGCGTGGGACAGCTTCCTGTGCCAACCCAAAGCCCTGCATGGTACCAGGCTTGTACGCAGCGGGCAAGGCTGCAGTTCCCCTGTTGCCTGTGACCAGTGAAGAGCAGGAGCTGTGTTTTGTTTGTAGCCAAGCTTGTGTTTACCAGAAAGCTCAGACAACACCTTCGGTAATCAACAGACAAAGTCCAGCAGATTATGAATTTAGAAGGAGGAAAAAACTTCCCAGTTCCTCATTTTGCTTGTGTCTTTATATGCCAGGATGTGGAGTTTGCGAGTAGTTTAGGTAAGAACCCTGAGCCGTACCGGCTCTGTCCTCTAGGTGTCAGGTGAGGAAGCGCACCTGATGTTCTCATGGTTTGTCTCAGCTGGGGACCAAGGCAAGACAGCATCATCTGGGCCCAGGCCTTTCGCAGCAGTGACAGTTCTGCCGTGACACCTCCCTGGGGGTGGGGGTATAGCGCTCTGTGCCACCTGTGCTGTTCGGGATTAGCACTGCAGTGGAATTGCTAGCTAAGCTGACAAGACCAGGAAGGGAATAACAGCTTACGCAAATTGGGAGAGAAACGTCTTTGTTTACAGTTGATTGTCTACGTAGAAAACTGCAAAGAATCAACAACAAAATGAAAACTATAGGCAACCGTGGTCAGCCCAAGTGTCCCAGGCTAGTGTCTAAAATCCAGTTCCTTCCTAGATCCCAGCAACCATGGTTGGCATTCAAAATGCTAAGAGCATGTGCAGTGGCCGCGGGAGAAATCAGGAGCTTCACAGTAAGAAAGGGACAGGAGAGTGGGCCAACGGAGGATTGGGGAAACGCTGGGGCTGCTTCTGAGAGGGTTCCCAGCTAACTCGGGAGGTGAGGGAGCTGCAGGCACCCGGGTAGGGAGAGGCGCTTAGGGCTGAGAGCAGGGACTCGCCTGCGGTGTTCTCCAGATGCCTACCATGAACATCTGGGTAAGTGACACTGCTAGGCCTGAAGGGAGAAGGCGAGGGCTATCAAGATGAACGTGATTCTTGAGAAAAGCTATGTCCTTCCCTGCAGCACCGCTGTCCCTTGGGGAACTGGCAGCCCACACCACTTCTCAGCTCAGGTTTGCGGCTGTGGGGACCTGGCTGAGCCACGTTAGGAATGGGAGCCCTAGGGCGCTGGGTCTGGAGCTGAGCCATGGTGTCCTGTCCCAGCTTGCCCAGGAAGACAGTGCCCCTGACACAGTCAAGGGGCACCCGGCCTGTGCTGATGTGTGGCTGTGGCCATGTGGCAGCTGTGGCCCTGGGCTCCTCCCTGGGACACAGCTCCTGCCATGCAAGTGTGCAGATGTGGTCTCTGGGGAGGACAGCACCAGCTACTGAAGGGGACCATACAGCGTGGGGGAGCAGAGCGGACCAGGGAGAGGCCTACAAAGCACGGATCGCCTGCTCAGCTCCCTGGTACCATGCATGGCTGTTTCCCTCGTGGACTTCAACAGCAAATCTTCAAGGCACTGAGCTTTGCCTCCCCACTCCCCAGATGGAGACAGCGTGAGAGGACCAACAGGACGGAAAATGTGAAAACAGTGGTCCCACACGTTTGCCTATCAATGTTTAACCAAATGGAATCATGTGAATCTGATAGTGGAATTTTCATTGCTTCTCTGCACCTTATATTCAAAAGGAAAAGAAAGCCAAAGAGAGGAAGCCCTCGGTGTGCAGCTGGGAATCGAGGCCAGGGCCTCTGGGCAGAAGCTCCTGCTGGGAGGAGCCACCTTGACTGGGCCTGGAAGGGTATGGGAGGTCACAGAAGGCAGTTAGCTACCCCGTGACAGGTTTACAATTAGCCTTTAAACAAGACAGACTCCAAGAATTCCGGGACGTCAGGGACTCCTTACAGGAACACGCTTGTCAACCTTATCTGAATTTTTGGAAAGAAAACAGATTCCAGGCTGTTGTTGGAGGTCAGCAGGTACAGGGAGGAGGATCCAAGGACCTCTGAGGGCCAGAAAACTGATTTCTCTTCTAGTTCTGCTTTCTGTACACAAGTTTCAGGGGAGCCCAGCCACTGTTGGTGTTCACGCTGGCATGGGGGTGGCTCTGTCGGGCAGGGGCTGGCCATAGAAGGAGTGGTGTGTCTGTCCACCAGCTGTCTTGCTCACTGGGCGTTTCTGACAAATAAGGGCAAAAACCAGGCGAGACAGACAGGCTCCTAGGAGGACTGGGACTCTTCCTGTGAGAAAAGGTGAAAGCCAGAATCCACCCTTCTGGCTTGGACTGGGACTGGGCTGACTAGCTCCGGCAGCCATGTGACTGACTACCTTGCCTGTGCTGTCTGTCTCTGGGCAGCTGTCATCAGGCTGGGCTTCCCGGTACCACTCTCTCTCGGGCTGGGGTGCCTAGGCCAGCCATCCTCACCGCAAGGCCTGCCAGGTGAGGTCCTGTCACCATCACAGAACAGGTATCTAGGGTCTTTCTCCTAACACAGGAGGATTAAAGAGCCAACTTGCTGGGGACCAGAATCTCTTGCCAAGAAGCCAAAATATAAGAACAAAATAATGTGATTAACTAGAGGCCAAGACGGTAGGGAGAGCCAAGAAGCTCTGTACACACAAAATAAGACAAAATAAGGCTCTGGTTAGTCAAATCTTTTATTTGATGTGTATTTTAAATGCAAGTACTCGGGAGGCTGAGACAAGAGGATCGTCATAAGCTGAAGGCCAGCCTGGAGTACAAAAGAAAGAAAAAATATAAGCCAGCAATTTTGACACTGAAAGAGAGACCAAACTAACAGACAACATTTATTTAAAAAAATCAAACATCTGATTTTTTGTGCCATCATCCATATTAAAAGTATCCATCCTATCTCAGTTTGAAAGATAGACAAATCTTGAGGCCACAGAGACGTCTGGTGGTTTCAGTTGCTTCAGGTGTAGCTCTTCACCTAGAAGGGACACAGGAAAGTTTGGAATGTTCTCGGTCTGCTTCTGTATTTTTTAATGCATTTTTGGGTGCAGAAACGTGCCTGGCACTGTTTCTGGCCTGGGAGCAGCCCACAGTGCTGCAGCCCATGGAGCTTACTGCTGTGAAGGGACCAGTACCAAGGAGCTGTTTGTAATCCAGCCACACTTTCCTCCATTTTCCGTGTCTGCCCGGGATCCCTTCCTGTCCCAGTGCCCGTCCTGATGCCCACGGTGCCCACACTACACTCAGCTGGCAGTGGGAAGTCTGCTGGGTGGTGACGGCCCTGACATGTGAGGACCAGCTGGGGTTCTGTAGAACGTGCCCAGTGCAGGTGGGTCAGGGCTGCCTGTCCCTGTCTCCAGGGACCCATCAAGGGAACACCAGCCCTGCTCACAGGCATAGTGTTTCATCTGGGGTCCCACTGGCCCTTCCCTGTCCTCTCCAGGCTGTGCCTTAGAAGGGGTCCCTGTGCACCCCGTGGAGGGAGAGGCAGTGTCAGCTCAAACACTGGGCTCCTGTGCAGGAGACAACACTCTTCTAAAAAGAAGACATCCTGCAACTTCTTCGCTCTCAATGTTAATATTTATTTTTCAGCTGCTCCCCCCCACTCTTTCTGGCAGTACTGGGGATTGAACCCAAGATCTTTGCACTGAGTTAATTCCCAGGCATTTTTATTTTGATTTTGAACCATGGTCTTGCCCAGGCTGGGCTCAAACTTGGAATTCTCCTGCCTCAGCCTTCCTGAGTTACAGGTGTGTGCCATCACCTCTGGCTTCAATCTATTTTGTGCTTTTCTCTTTTCACTTCCCTTCCTTCATCTTTTCCTTTTCCTTCTTCCCTTCTGTTTCCTTCCCTTTCCACCTTCCTCCCTGTTTTCTTTCTGTCTTCTCTTCCTTTCATTTGTGATTTGAACCCAGAGCCTTGACACTGAGTTACGTCCCCTTTTCATTTCCAAATAGGGTCTCACTGACTTGCTAACTTGCCCAGTTGCCTTCTAGATGCCCCTCTTTCTAGAGCTGTTGGAGCAGATGTCACTTGTTATCCTTAGCTCCCTCTCTCATTCTTCCCACTGTGAACATTTTCCTATCCAGCTTTGTCATGGTGCATAGCGGAGCGGCCGATCACCGCCAAGACCCCTTATTGCCAGCCAGTTCAAAGATGCAGCAGCCACCCAAGAGCGCTTTGGGAGGTGGGAGGGATAACGCACATGCCCTAATCATATGTCTACACTCCACAGATCCGGGTGCCCTCGCACCAACTCACCACGGTCCTTAGAATGCGTTCATGGCTCTCCTCCGGTTGATGTCCCTCTTAATTTGGCAAAGAGAGCACACGGGGCAGCAGAGCGTCACCATGTAGTCATCGCAGATGGAGCCCTGTGTGCGAATGAAGGGGGACAAGAAGGTAGGACGCAGTCATCGCAGTGACTTTCAGGGAGCTGGAGAGAACCAAAGCCTCTATGCCCTGGGGTGCAGCTTGGGTGGCTGCGTTTAGGAAGATGTTTCTTGGTTTTTCTACAGAACTCTCATGTCTTTTTAGGACCCCAAATGCTTTCCTACACCTTACACTTCCTCCAACCGAAGCACCAGGCTGTGGGTGCAGTGAAGCTGAGGCAGTAGGAGCTCAGAGCTTGCCCCGCCTCGGCCTCTCCATGCCTCCGAGGTTGCTGGTTCAAAGCCAGCCGCTCAGTGCGCAGCAGGAGGAAGATGAACAGGTCAGGATGTCTGCCATAGATTTAGAAACCAGTGAAGGATTCAGGGCTAAGGTACTTGTAAGAAAATGGAGAGAAATGACTGGTGAATAAAGCAATAGTTACCTACATTTTTGTTTTTTGAGACAGAATCTTACTGTGTAGTCCAGGCTGGCCTCAAATTCACAGTGATCCTTCTGCCTCAGCCTCCTAGGTGCTAAGGATTACAGGGAAATGCCACCACACCCAGCGGCAATAATAGTTACTTATATCAAGAAAAGAGAGTTTAGCCAGGAAATTAATCATGTTCACACAAGACTCAACTCTGAAGGTGAAGAAGTGTAAGTACCCTAACATCAGTGCCACCTGTGTGACAGCCAAAATCACGTAAACGCAAGGGCCTGAGGAGGGCTGGGAGAGGGTGTAGCTGGGTCAATTTTTATCTTTTGTGGTGGGAGGAAAATAAACATTGCCCTAAACTGGTCACGAAGAGGTCATGAAGCAGCAACACAAGTCAGTGGTTTGCTCTGGTTTTTCTTAACAACCCTGCAAAATGAGATCACTTAAAAATGCTGTGGTTCAGGGCTTTGATGAGTGAAAGCTGCCTTACAGAACAGGAAGTGGTGGTTGAGTCAGCCAGAGAGGTTCAGTCTGGGGCGGGGGAGGTGAAAGCAACTGGGCAGCAGTGCAGACCTGGGAACCTGAGCCCTAAGACAAGGGCCAGGGGCCAATGGCCGGACAGGGAGGAGCCCCGAGAGGCAGGGGGGCAGGGAGGAGGGAGGCCTTGTGCTCTTTTTTTGCTGAGTGGGTCTTTCCTGGTTGCTTTTGTTCTCTTTCAGGTTTATCACAAGTTATGCTTTTTTTTGATCAATGATTATCTCACGTTTTTACCCCCAATTTATATTTCATTATCAATGTCAAATAAAAAAGGGTCTTTAGAATACTTTTATTTCCTTTACTTTTCAATTTTCCAGATTTTATTAAAACTAACTAAAGTTTTCATTTCAGATGACTTGTAACTTTTCAAAGACCCAGGACTGCATAGTGGGCCTTTAAAATCTTGAGTACTGTGATTACAGGTGTGTACCACCACACCTGGCTCCTGACTGGTTTCTGAAAGTTTTTTGAACTGACCAATGAAAATTAAACTAAAACAACAATGATACCACTTTTGCCTCTCTGGTAAAATTTAAAAATATACTATATACAATATTAGTAAATTTATATAAAGGATAATATATTTAAATTGATATAAGCTTTTTTTGGGAAATTTGGTAGTGTTTTTCAGAATGTGTATACCTTGTATACCTTGCAATCTAGGACATTAGGCTGGTAAAAATATTAGTGCAGGTGCATAATTATATATGTCAGCTATTTACAATGCAATGTTATTTATCCTTTCAGCTAAGGAAATGATTAAATTATAGGTTGACGTACTATGCTGTCATTAAAAAGAATTAACATGCTGACATGAAAGGGGTCTAGCATAAATTAAGTGGAAAAAGTTACAGCATAGCATCAACCCATTTGCATTTTTGAGCCCAGTTTAAAAAACAAAAACAAAAAACCTCCCAAACCCAAAACCTTATATTTACCTCTATATGTCCATGGGGTATAGGGTTAGGAAAAATCCCAATGAGGGTGTACCCCAAATTATTAATGGAGCTTATCAGTAGGTAGTGAAATTGGGTACAAAGAGGTTCACTTTTCATTTTTTATATTTCTGTTTGAATTTGTCCTACAATTGTCTTATAGCATGCATTTAAAAATAAACTTTAAGTGAAAATTAAAATAATTTCAGTGGAACAAAGTAGGTTTCTAAAATTATTTTTTGCAGCTGGGTGGGTAGCACATGCCTGTCATCCCAGCACTTAGTAGGTTGAAGCGGGAGGATTGCTTCAAGCTAGAGGCCAGCCTGGACTACAGAGTGACTTTAAGGCCAGCCTGCACCACAAACGAGACCCGGTCTCAAAAAAAAAAAAAAAAAAAAAAAGCATTCTGCAGATTTCTTCATTTCCTGTAGCGTTAACTGTGCGCGCCAACCCGCGGTCCCTCGGGATGAGACCCACTTTTAAATCCGTGGCCTCTGGGAAAAGCCGCTGGGCAGCAGGCGAAGACCTTGACGGGATTTTATCTTAAGAGTGATGGTCCCTGAGCAAGAAGCCTTCCCGCCACCACCTGGGCCCCGCCCCTCCCCTCCTCGGTGCCTCGGCCTCCCCACCCCCACCTCACCCCCACCCGCCCCGCGACCGGGGCCGGCCCCTCACCGGGATGCCGTAGCGCGTCCGGTACAGCGTCCGCATGGCCACGGTCGTCCCGCACAGGCAGCACTCGTTCATGTCGGCCGCAACCTGGCACCCGAGGCACATGAAGCAGAAGACGCCGCAGAGGCCTGGACGCGGGAGAGGACGCGGTCACCGCTCTGTCCAGCCCCAGGCCGCCTGCATGCATCCCGGGCCCCGCCTGCGCCCCGAGTCACCAGGGGCTCTGCTTAATGTCCGGGTCACCCACAGGAGGGCGCCACGAGGCTCCAGAGGACGCCTGCGTTCTGAAGGGCAGTAGGGTTTTGAGGTGTGGGCAGGGTCGCTTGGCGGAGTGTCCCAAAGGCTGGGTTCCTTCAGTGTGGCCAAGCCCCAGGCAGGACGAGGAGTGCAGCTGGGGGTGGCTGGGACCAGCTGTGAGCTCCACAGGTCCTGAAGAACCATCAGGGGCTCTGGGAGAGGGTGACAGTTTTATAGCCTACACCCGGGCAGCTGCTAGACTGGGGTGGAGCCTCCATCTCATTTAACTGGGTAGTAAGACTGGGGGTGGAGGCGAGCTTCATCCTTAGAGGGTTTTGCTACTGTAGTCTTCATTACCACTTGGATTGCAGATGCTGAGCTAAGTCCTAAGACAGCGAGGTTCCAGGCTGTTCCCTACTAAGATAACCAATGGGAGGGTGAGAAACCCCTTTCCATGGGGTTTCCCCATCTCATTTGTTTGAATGTAATTATTAACTTGATTCAGTCCAAAGTTCCACTTCACTGGTGAGGTGAAGGCTGACATATTTTCTTTCCTTAGCAAGAATCCTCAAGCGAACAGCTTGGGGAGCAGCGGTTCTGAGGGTTAGAATCGCAGAGTACCTTGGTCCCTCTGTCACCCACATCCCTCTACCTAACTCCCTTTCTGCCAGTCACTTAGCGGAGACCTCAGAGTGATTTTACTCGAGGAGATCTTCCAAAGAAGGAACAGGAAAGGCAAGGCAGAGGTGTCGTCCTGGTGACGACCAGTGCCCTCAAATCCTGTTTCGGATCAGGCATGTGTAAAGGCAAGTGGTCCCCCAGCTCATAAAGAAGCCCCAGAGCTCTCCCGGGAACTTTCCATTGTGTGCCAGCATGGGCACGGGCATGCTACAACCACAGAGCAGTAGGGTGGAGGGATGGTGACCAGGCACAGCCTGCAGGTAGGGGTTTAGGGGAGGAGCTTCGGCTGCGGGGACACCAGGTGCCCCACCCTGGCTGCTGCCACTCACACACGCCGCAGTCACTGAAGCAGTCACACAGGCCCGTCTGCCAGTTGGAGTTTTGGGGCGCACGCACAAATCCTGGTTGGGTCACAACCACTACAGGCGACTGGTTCTGCATTGTGGGTGCACTCAGACACGCTGTGGCTGCAAAGGAGACAGCGGGCATTAGGACGGCTTGGGAGAGGCCGGCCAGCAGGCCGAGGTCTCTCTGCCTAGGGGTCAATGTAGATGCAACTGCAGTTACTCCCTGAGGATGTATTTTTACCCGCTTCCTTCATCAGACAAAGGCCCCTGGGGCTGCTTCTCTGGGCTCAGGCTGCTCCTGATCTACTTATAGACGAGGAGCTGGTACCCAAGTACACGAATGACTGACCGTGACACACATCCACCCTTCTCTGCTCCTGCCCTGTGCTTCTCCTCGTTTTGGACTCACTTCAGGTCAGCCATCCTCCACGCTCTCCGGAATCCATGCTGGCCCAAGCCTTCAGCCTGACCAGAGTTGGATTCTGTAGCTACTCAACAGATCCTCGCTGCTGAGAGTGGGTTCCAGCCGTTTCTTACCAGGAAGGCTGCTCTTCTTCTTTCTTATTCTTGGCTTTCTTTTCTTTTTTCTTTCTTTTTTTTTAAGTTTTTTTTTCAAGACTGGGGCTCTAAGTAGCCCAGGCTGGCCACAAACTTGAAATCTTCCTGCCTCTGCCTCCCCAAGAGCCAGAATTACAGGTGTGCACCATGCACCTGGTAATAAAGTATATTTTGTCTTGTACTCCTGATTTCTCTCCCTCAAGAGAGTCAGGGTTGGGTCATGAGAAATGAACTAGGTCTGGACCAAGGATATCTCTGCTCAAGTCCTGGTTTCTGAGCCTGAGCCCCAGGTAGGGATGTAATGTGTCGTTGGTTCCACGCGGACCTGAGAATGGAAGAGCTTCCAACCTGCCCTCCTGGCTCACTGGCTGAGAATGTTCAGTGACACAAAGCGCAGACAAGTCTGATGCACAGTGACAAACCCAGTGGCCGTACTGAGAGAGGCACAGCTCGGCCACTGCTGATGCGCAGGATACCTGTGCCCAGCGCTGTCAGCAGACGGTCACTGAGCTCACTCTGCACAGGGCCCTGTGGTCAGCCCCCACCGTCTGAATCATCTACGGGACTGTGCTGCCAAGCAGAAATTCCTGTCTTTTGCTTTGCTTTGTTTTGTTTGAGGTGGGCTCTTGCTATGTGGTTCAGGCTGACCTTGTAAGTTATAAATCTATGGTTTATTTCCAAGCCCCACTGTTTCTGGTGACCTGGGGAGGACAGAACCTTCTCAGTTTTCATAGCACCAAGCTCGGGGTCTGGCCCTGGTGATTGTCTCTTTGAAGGCAGTGCCTGGCTGTACAACTCCCTCAGGAGGTGCGTGGAACCAGATGGAACAGGCTGCCACTTAGGAATTTAGCACACAGCGTTGAAAACACAAAGGGAAAACAAAAGTTAGAGACACAGTGCCTCTAGGTACTCTAGCACTGTGACTATATCATTTGCTCTTGTGTTCTTTCCCAAATAGAGAAATCAGCTTTTTTGTTTTTTGAGACAGAGTCTTGCTATATAGCCCAGGCTGGTCTTGACCTCCCAGAAATCCTCTTGCCTCAGCCACTTGAGTGCTGGAGTTACAGGCATGCACCACCACTCCTGGCCAGCAGTTTTGAAAATACCCAAATCAGCCAGGTGTGGTGGTGCATACCTGTGATCCCAGCAATCAGGAGGTTGAGGCCGGAGGATCACCGAAAGTTGGAGACCATCCTCCCCAGAAGAAAAAGGTCACATTTTTCATGTTGCTTTGCAGTCTCGTTTCTTTCCAGATCTCACTGACTGGCAGCATTGCTACCATGCATTGTCTTGGGTGAGAAGAGGGCAGCAAGGGGCACCAGGAATGGTCTCCGGCTGGGCCTCTCCACTGCCCCTGCACATGGCACTCAGGGATGCTTCAGGTACCCAATGGCCAGGAGGTCACCCCTGGTCCACGGGTGCTCCCTGCAACACCAGCCCAGGGTGCTCAGCGAGTCTGGAAGACAGTGAACTTGGTTGGATTTTTAAATACAGAAAGAAGAGGCCTAGAGTGTTCTCCTGGAGATTTGGGGGGGAGGGGCAGCAGCACTGTCCGTGCCCTGCTCAGGACTGCAGTGCACGGAGTGCAGGTGCCATGCTCTTCCCAGCCTTTCCTTACAAAGCATAAAGTCCTTGTCTTAATTTTTTTTTTTTTTTTGCATCAGGAATCAAACTCACAACCTTGTGCTTGCCAGGCAGGCTCTATGCCGCTGAGCCCACTTAGAATTAAAAATAAGAAAGGAATGCATCTGTGGCTCAGTGAAAAAGTTCTGGATTCAGTTCCCAGTATCAAAAATCCAAACATAACAATAACAAAAACACCCAAACCGAAACAGACCCTTTGAGGAATATAATCATTGTGCACTGCAAACATGTCCCCGTAAAAATAAACATTAGTACAAACAAGGAAAAAAAGAGAAAAAAAGGCCCTTAGATGAAAAGAAGCCCCAAATCACTCAAAATTAAGGAAATGCAAACTCAGTGCTCGTCCGGCAAAAATGAAAACCCAATGGGGCAACTATTAGCAACTACTGACAACATGGTGCCAGTTTCTGGAGACCCCTGCAGGGGGTTCCGGCACAGGGCAGGAGTGAGGAGAAAGCAAGACACAGAGCAGAGGGGGCAGAACTGGGCCCTGAGGCCACCTTGCTTTCTGGGAACCCAGGGCCCAGAGTCCGGGCCAGCCACTGCAGGGGGACGGGGTTGTTTACAAGGGGGCAGGGTGCAGTGAGGGCTCCCCCTGGAGCCTCAGAGGCAGTGGTGGAACCGTAGCTCTGACAGAGAAGGAAGCAGCTTGCCTCCCCAGCCCTGCCTGGGTGCTAATCTCATTTCCGCCAAAGCTGGCCCACAGGCAGGCAGGGCAAAGAGTCTGGGACAGATCCTGTGTCAGTTTACATTCAGGGTCCTCAGCAACTACAAAACCTTTTTAAGCACAAACGTTTACAGTAGAGCTCTCCGCATATCAAAAAGAGGCTTATTTCCAAAAGAAAAATGTTTTTGCACTGACAGAAGAGTTGATTTCCAGGTGAATGCCCGCGTACCAGCCACCTGATTCTGTCCGTTCCCAGCACCGGTCTGGAGGCTGGCTATGTCCACCTGTCTGATGGTGGATCTGGTGCCACTAGGGGCACCCGGCACTGTGCTCAAGGGCAGGGGTGCCAGGAGTGGGGGCAGCACTGCCCCGGCTAAGCGCAGTCAGGCCTAGGCAGCAATGTGGGGGGAGGGCAGAGCAGCTGCGCATGGACATCAGGAGGCCTCGGGGCTCCATGGCCTCCATGATGGTTGTGAGCCACCTGTACCACCACCGCCGGAGCCACCTGAAGCCTGGGGATGCTGTGGGGAGCTGGGGTCCCCACACAGGTCAGAAGTGCAGCCTGCAGCCGGCTCCCCGAGAAGCCTGGTTACAGAACCAGCCCTGGATACAGAGCCCGCCCTGCAGGTCCGGTGTTTACAGGCCCAAGGCCTCTGTGACCAGGACACCCGCCCAGTGATGACATAGACATTAACGCATCCAAGAGGGAGTGCAACAGCTCACACAGAGCATCCTGGGGGGCCTGGGCAGGTGGTGGGAGTGACTGTGGCTTCTGAAGGCATGACACAGTGCTGTCATGCACCCGTGGGCACACGTGGACATACCACCTTGCTGACCATGCTGTGTCACGGTAAAAGTACTGGACAGGCCTGGCTGGGGCAGGACTGCAGTGCCCCAGACACTGCCAGATGGAGGAGGAGGCCATGTGGGTGGAGGCCGTGAGGCAGGGTCCCTGCACCCCCTGCAGAGCTCCAGGAGGGAAGTGGGCACCTCGGGCAAGGCCAGAGGTCCTGTGGTTGGACAGTGGGGTCTGTTACTTGCTTTTGTTTTTTCAGTGCCAAAGACGGAACCCAGGGCCCGGCGCTTGCCAGGGAACTGCAGCACCCAGGTAGAGGGCATCACGGGGCTTCCTGGAGAACCTGGGCTCTCAGGCATGATTTGGAGGACAAGCGTCCTAGGAGGACAAGTTGCGGTCCAGAAGGGAGGCAGCTTTCAGATCTCTTCCCAAGGAGCCATGTGGGACGTGTGGAGGAGCTTACACTGCGGGGAACGGGCAGGGTCCACATCTGGGAGGGGAGGTGTCTGTGGCAGCTGGGCTGGCACAGGCCACTGCTTTTCAGGCTTCCAGTGCTGCTATTGCCGGGGTTGTAACCTTGGTCCTCATGGTCAATGCAGAGCCTCCCCCGAGGTGCTCTGGGAGTTTGCATACAACAGAGGCACCAAAGACCCACAGCCACTCTCTGGTCACTGGTGGGCGGTCCCTCGATGGCAGTGCAAATGCAGGGATGGCTGGGGTGCACAGAGCTTCTCCCATTCTGCCTGGCTCATGTGTCAGTGCCACTTGTGTATCTCTCCTACTGGACCCCATGTGTGAAGCCTGCAGGTTTCTAGGGCAACCAGAGGGGGGCCATCCACAGACATGCATCATCAGGACAGGGCACTGGGATGCAGAAGGCTGGGACCAACATCACCAGTGTGTCACCTGTGTCACCAGCATGTTGCTAGCATTCATAAACTTAAGTGTTCAGAGCCAGCCTGTAATCTCAGCGTTCTGAGAGACTGAGGCAGGAGGACTGAAAGTTTGGACCAATCCTGGGAACTTTAGTGAGACTCTGCCTCCAAAGAAAAGCTTAGGGTTGGGGGTGTAGCTCAGCATGAAGGACCGGGTTGGTCCCCAGGACCACACACATAGACAGTGTGTTCTGAGCTACCAGCTGCACAGGCAGAGGCAGCAGTGTCTCTGGCCCTGAGACCTAGGGGGACCTAGTGCATACCCCACGTGCCCTGCAGGCAAACCCAGTGCTGTCTGGGGCCCCAGCACCAGAAGTGAGAACACTGCAAGCAGTAACATGGTTTCAGTGCTCACCTGTTTTGGGTTGTGTGTCCTTCAAGGGCAGCAGCCAGCCACGGGGGTCTGGGCTGTGTCACTGCTGGGTGGACAGAGGCCTGCGCAGGGTCTTGTCCCTGAGAGGGACCTTGAACACCGAGGCCACCAGGTGCTGCTGTCCACCGTGGCAGGGGCGAAGTAGACTTAGACACTCCAGACCTCCAAGTGCCCAGCGCAGGCCCCTCTGCGCCCAGACTCCAGGACTAAGTGAGAGAAACCTCATGGGGTGAGATAGCCTCCTGCCATTGTTTTGGGGTGTTTGTTTGTTTTGTATTTCCTTTTAATAATTAAATGCCAGAAAAAATACCTTACAAGTCTGCGCTGGGGCGTTGTCTTGGGCACCTGCTGCGGGATGTTTCCATAATGTCTGAAGACTTCACCATCCCTGCCGTGCCCTCTTAGCCTGGCTGACACTGGAAGTGCAGCCAGTGCTGGGCAGACAGCGGGCAGCAGCCTTTCCCAGGCCTCTTCCCCAAGGAAATGCATTCTTGTATCTGGTTTTCAGGACACCCACACTGTGGTTTTGGTAACAGTCACCCAGAGATTTCCAAATGAGCTCTGGCTGCAGGGTCCTAACCGTCCTCTCCCTTGCCCCATCCACACCGGCGCACGGCACACATGCTCGTAGAGTCACAGGCTGGATCCCGACATTCTCTGGGTGCCTGGAGGTCTTGTCTGGGCTGTATCTGATTATCACTGTTGGGTTTTGTGCAAGAAAGTGTTCTTATCGCCAAGTATTGTCCTAAGCAAGCGCTAGCCAACCAGTGAAAATTGGTGGTTTCTGTTTCTGTTTCCTTGGATTACTTTGGAATATGGGGAGCTGGGAACTGGGAACTGAGTTTCTAGGAACTGCAACACCTATGTGGCCCCAGCGGTGTGCAGGCCGCAGGCAGTTCCCTGCACTGAAGGTCCCCGGGGTGGAGGCTGCCCCCACCCTACCAGGGACAGCAGGCTGAGGGACCGAGAGTCCAGCACTGCCGTCTGTCACCCTTAGGGTATTCTGAAAATGACCTTTGTCTGTTAAGAGACTTTTTTTTCCTAGAAGGAAATCCCTCCAGGATGGTTCTGGGTCCACCACAGCTGGAGGGTATGTGCCAGCCATGCCCAAGGCCCTGGGTTCAAACTCCAGGGCTGCACAACTTTAAAGGATTAAAAAGCAAAAAACAAACCTAAGAGAACAGAGAGAAGAATGCAACAGTTTCACTCAACACAGCCCTGTGACCAGTCCCAAATTCTAGATCTAAGTCTAAATAAAATACCAAGTAGAGGTAAATGCAAGGTATGCTCAGCTACTGTGTTTCCTGTGGGCCTCCCACGAGGCACCCAGCAGTCCAGTCACTCCAGGTAACAGGTCACCAGGAAGTGGAGGGGAAAACAACTTCCTGGAATCCTCCGAGTGGGGTGGCATTCCTACTATGCTGTCTTCTGGGCTCAGAGCCCTTTCAAGCTAACCTGGTACCCAGCTCAGACCCCTGGATCCAGGAACTGGGTGTCTGTGACCAGAACCCAAGGATGCTGCCCTTAGATGACAGACCCACAGGCGGAGCATATGGCAGCCTGTGTAGAGTTATAAAAAGGTATCCCTTTCTCCAGGCAAACACAGCCTCAGCCCCGGCCGTCCACCCGGAGCCTGTCTTCTGTCACCAACAGCTGCACACACACAGCTGGGGCACCTCGGGGTGGGGGTCTGTGCCCAACTCGGTGAAGGTGCCCTGACTTTGGCAGCAGCTCTGCCCACGGACTGGAGGAGCTGGGAAGCCTCTCGGGAAAGGGAGAAGGAGAGGAGAAACCGGCCAGCTCTCACGGAGGCTTCCGCACAGAGCCGTCTTTTACTGGGTCTCACAGGACTTGGCCCACAGGTAGACCATGTGGATTTTATCCACAGTCTTAACCTCAGACTCACACCTGGCTCCTGCACTTGGACACGCTGTCCTCCATCTGGATATCAACTGATAATTATTAATATCAGTTTACCCAGATGCTAAACACGTATTACTTTGATTTTTTCCTCTTTGTCCTGCATGCTGATGCTAGATTTTTTTTTTTTTGGCTTTGATTGAAATATTTCTATCCCATAAACTCTTAAATTGTAAACCACCAGATGGAAGCTATACAGGGAGCACCTCTGTACATACCGGCAGCAGAATTTAATTCTGATACGAGGCTGTTTCCCTTACTTTCACAATGAGAATTCAAGGATTCTTACAATTTGTGAGGCAATTCTACAAAATTTCACCTCATATTGCTAGATATTTTCGATGGATAAAATGAAATCTTTTCAAAGCACAGAGAAGTCAGACCAGCATGCGTAAATATGGATATGTTATTGAGATGAAAAGAAAAGTCAGTGATCAAGTTAATAAATACAAAATGCATATGTGTTTCCTGCTACAGCCGATCCAGGGTGATGGGAGGCTGAGTGCTTACCCTGATTTGAACAGGCTGGCATATTCTACAATGCTTGCCACATACTTGTTGAATATGGTTAAAAACGTAAAAGCAGTTAGAAAATAATTGTCTGGACCTCAAAATCTGACACATTAGGAGAACAAAAGCAGGAAAATCAAATCACTTGTAAAGAAAACATTTTTTTAAGTGCTAAGAGAAGTTCTATGTTTCAGAGTGCTTACCCTGAGAAGCAGTTTCTCTCGGGACCGCGATGTGGCAGGGGTGAGGGTCCTGGTAGAAGTGAAAGGCACTCAGGCAGAAGGGAAGAGGTCGACTCCTTGGGGCCAAGCCCTGGGCTCTGATTGGCCGTGGCCAGGCAGGCAGATCCGACTGCAGCCGGGCCCTGCCCTCTGTGAGTGAGGTGTGGCTCTCCTCTGGCAGTGAGCAGAGCGCACACCTGCATCTTTTGTTTAGGAGGGACCAGGGCTGATCATATAGTCTGATTAGTTTTGCATGCCCAGAAGAGCTTCCTGATTTTTAAATTTTAGTTTCCTCCTATACTACAACAAATATGCTGTTCAGTGTGTATTTCTCCTGCATTCTGACTGTGGACCTTGCAGGAAGTACTGGGGACCTGCCTGTGCTCCATGCCTGAGCAGCGCCTCTCTGTGCGTGGCTTTGTTCCCTGACACAGGCTGGACGCGTTGTGTGTGTGTCAGGCACGATTCTGATGCTTTTTATTTGTGTCATTTTGGGGAACTTTCCCACCACCCTGTTTGACTGACCAGGAAACTGAGGCCGGGAACTGTTAAGTGGTTATAGGCAGCAGCGAGGAAGTGGCTGATCAGGGTCACCAGTGCTACCACACATTCTTCTCACACAGTCTCAAATGACAGCCCATGCCGGCAGAGAAGACTTGCTGTGGTGACGGGGAGGTGACCACTCACTGTCGAACAGGAAATGCTTTGGAGTCTCCACCATAGGCCGGACCGCAGACCACGCTGGACACAGTTCCCACTGCTGAGCAGGAGCACAGTGACCTCCAAGAGCCCTGTGTCCCAGAAGCAGAAGCTGAAGTCGCCCAAAAGCAGCACGAGAAGGACGAGCTCTCTGGCTTTGGGTCAGGAGAGGAATTTCAAGATGACCATACTGTTCTTGGTTCAGTTTATGCTTTCTTTACCTCTTTGGCCTATAGATTTCACTCCTGGGCTCAGTGGTTGGAGCACAGAGTCATACGTAACAGAGTGACCTTTAAATTTGTTGTAATTTATCCTTTGGAGGTTAAATTAGGAAATCAGAAATTAAAATAGTGACACAGGCATGATAGCTCATACCTATGATTCAAGAGACTGAGGCAGGAGGATTGCCAAGAGTTCCAGGACAGCCTGTGGCTTTTGAGTCTGTCTCAAAAACCACAAAGAAAAAAAAATCAGCTGTAAGCAAGCATTTCAAAGGAAAGAAATGCAAAATAGTAATATAGTAATAGTAAGAAGAAGAAGAAGAAGGAGAAGGAGAAAGAAAAAGAAGAAAAAGAGCGACACAAAGAAATTGGAGGGACGCACTGAAAACGCTGTAGCTTTCGAGCTGACAGGTGGTAAAACCCCAGATGACTCATTTGTGGGCTATGTGACCTCGGGTACCCCGACATATCTCCTCCAGGGGGACAGGACCCCAGGGGAGGAGCTGTGCTGTGTGCGTGGCAGCCGAAGCACACAAACACCGTGAGCTGCAGACAGGGACAGGTTAGAAAAAGGAGCTGAGTTGGTCCCTTCACCTCTAAAGCTGGAAGTAAGGCCCCGCGGTCAGACTTACTCCGAAGTCATTAATTTTACTTGGCCCAGTTTTTCTTTTTGAAGGTTTCAAACTCATCAACAGAAACTGCCGAGCCCCCAAATCACAAAGCCTTGCACCCTGCCCCTCTGGGGAAACTGTATCCATGGAAACAAGGAGAGGGCAGCTCTGGGTGAGCAGGGGCAGAGGAGAGGATCTGGGGGGGGGCGTGAGTCACCTAGGGTCCTAGGGCAGAATATCAGTTGCCCTAAAAGCAAGCATCCCACCTAATGCCCAGGAAACTGAGGCAGCGGGATGACAACTTTGAGATTCCCCTGCACTACCTGGAAAGATCCTGTCTCAACGACAACACCTAGGCATGGGGCACCCTGCAATCCAGCACTTGGGAGGCTGAGGCAGGAGGATCATGAGAGTCTGAGGCCAGTCTGGGCTACATAGTGATTTCAAATCCAGCCTTGAACTACTTGGCAAGACTCTGTCTCAAAAAAACCAACAAGAGCAACAAAACAAAAAATTTAAATTTCAATGATTAGCACTGGGGAACTATTGGATAATTTAAAATGTATCCTTAAGAAGAAAAGATTAAGCCATTAAAATTTATTTTCCAAGGAAGATTTGATAACAGAGCAGACACCCTTGTGCTTATCTGACAGATAATTTTATGTTTCCAAAGCTGACAAGGCACTCCCTGCTCACGGGGTGAGAAGGGTCTGCTTCTGTGTGTATCTACTCACCACCCATAAAGAATGCTGTGGCAGTGACCTCAGGATCTTATCAGCTGGTCAGACGCCAGTGTTCTCTTCTGTTTTCACATGGGAAAAGAACATTTCTTTGAAAATACTTGAGGAGCTAAGCATGGTAGTGCATACCTGTACTGTCAGCGCTTGGGAGGCTGAGACAGGAGGAGTCCTTCAGGTTTGAAGGCATTCTGAGGTACACAATAGGTTAAAGGGCAGCTTGAACTACAAAGTGAGATCTTGTCTCAAGAAAACAAAAGGCAAAACAAAAGAAAATTGCTTGCAGCTTAAAGAAAAATCCCACAGGTACATTCCTCAGGAGTTGGTCATTCTTCAAGATTCAGACAATTCGAAGAAAGTGCCACTGGACTTTGGAAAGAAGATGTTCTGGGTGCTATGACCTACTCAAGCAGGACAGTGTTGGTGTGAACAGGGCAAGAGGGAAGAAGCTGCGCATCACCCAGCAGTTACCCTGCAGGCCAGCTCCCTGGGAGAACGGGAGTGGGGAGGGTAGTGGGGGGTACTGCGGGGGGGAGTGGAGAGTTGGGGTGTGCGAAGCTGGCTGGGAAGCGGGCATGGCCTGTTAGCCACCAGATCCCAGACACATGCACAGAACAGTTCCCAAAGCCCTGAGCACCGACTTCTTGCTAGAACTCAGTTGGTTTTCAGTAGGAGGCCCAGACCCAACCACACCTCAGGTGTGGGACCCCAGCAGTGCCTCTCAAGGCTCTGATGCAGAGGTTCTCAAAGGTTTCCTTGAGGTTTGGACAGCCACATCTGGTGCACTCGTGTAATCCCGGCACTCGGGAGGCCGAGGAAGGAGAATCATCTGCAAGTTTGAGACCAGCCTAGCCTACAACGTGAGCTCAAGGTCAGCCTGAACTGCATAGTGAGACCCTGTCTCAAAAAGACAAACAAACAAACAACATGGAGTGGGCTATGTATTTTCCCAAGACATGACATGTACTTTTTTACTTTCTTGTCTTTTTGAGACGGGGTCTCACTATGCAGTTCAGGCTGACCTTGAGCTCACTTTGTAGCCCAGGCTGGTGTCAATCTTGCAGCGATCCTCCTGCTTCAGCCTCCCAAGTGCAGGGATTACAGGTGCTGTGTACTTTAATCTTTGCACTCAACTCTTTTTCTCTTTCTTTGGCTTAAGGTCACCCTGCGGAATCAGGTTCTCCCCCACTTTTCTTACTTGCTTCATAGTTCTGTGTTCAAGAGGAGACCCTGGAATCTAGCTCCAGAGGGGGAGGCAAACAACCCTGAGCTTGGTGACATTTGGTTGTGAGGCTCTTTTAGAAGCAGGCTCAACTTTGAAGACATTGTAGGACTTGAAAGTGGTTAATAAAAATAGCTATGTAATGCTATGCTTAACTATTTAATGCCTGATGTTGTGGACAATTCTATTGAAAATAACAAGAGAAAGCATAGTAACTACTGTAGATCACCTAATATTGTGGTCTTATATGTCTTTTACATTTCATGTTTTTCTAGGAATTTGTTTTGTTGTCTTGTTTTGATCTGTCTTTCCCTGTAATACAGAAAGGATATACATGTAGAGATTCACACATGGAAGAATTTCTAAACTATTTACAGGAAGAGATTATATAATACACAATGTAATAAACAGATACTCTGAAGAAGAGACACTAAGAAACCCAATGCAATTCTGTAGCATTATGATATAAAATCTAGCAATACTATCATTCACTGATCAGAATGATATTAATGTAGTCTCTTATGTCCAATTTCAGCATACGTAAGGATAAGGACAGCTACTACGAAGAGAATAAGAGACATTATGGCAGTCATTATTGACTTCACCCATGTCAGATCTTGAAGCCCTGAAAAGCCTTCATCATCCTGTAATGATTTGATTAATTCTATAATATGCAGTATGTATTCAATGTGTGTGAAGGTGGGGACAACTATTTGGAAGAAAACTAGAGACAATAAGATAGACAATGAAGATCTCCAGTGGACTTGCTTTGAAATCTGTGTTTCTTTTTTTTTTTTTTCTTTTTTTGGTCTTTTTCCTTTTTATCGGTACCAGGGATCAAACTCAGGACTGCCTGCTTGCAAGGCAGGTGCTTATGCTGCTGAGCTAAATCCCCAGCCCCTGAAATCTGTGTTTCTTTAAATTGTTTCCTTATGAACTGTTTTGTTCTGTTTTGTCATGTTTAATCTTACCCTCTTTAAGATAAAAAACAAGTGTGTAGGACTGATAACCATATTACTAAGTTCTTGTTGGATCATTGAGCAGAATTGTTTGCAGTGTCATTGTTTGACTATCACTTTGTATGCTTTAATTTTGTAACTTGAATAACTATTTCTAAGATGACAATATATAACTTATCAATTAGTGATTTCTTACTGTTTATTTTTCTGAAATTCTGTATTATTTATACCCTTTTTTTCTGTTTTTTTTTTTTTTTCCTCTTTAAATAATAATAAAAAAAATAGAAGCAGGCCCCCCAGAGACACCTGCGCGGAGCATGCGCCTTGAGCACTCCCAGCCTGTTCTCGGGCCGCAGAGCCAGGATGGCCCGGCCCAGGTCTCCGGCCTTGCTCCACACGGATTCCTGTCTGATTAGATCTCCGAGCTGTCCCATGGCTTGGTTGACAGCCATGATCTGCTAGTTTGTGTGTGCGTGGCACGCGCTTCCCTGGACCTTGCTCTGTCCCCGGATGGCGTGGGGGGTTAACGGTGGGCGTCCCCCAGCTGTGTCCTAGCAGATGCGCACAGCACTGCGGCCACCCAGGTTGTCCAAGTTCTGTCCTCTTCCTGCAGTCTGAGACAAGGGGCCGTTTCCTTTGGACGACAACAGTAAACCTGTAGTCTCCACGCTGCTTTTTCTTGATTCTGTGTTTAACTCTCTCCTCAGTACGTGTTATCAGCTTTTACTAATTTTCTC